TGAAAAATTTCAGGGCTACAAAGATTCTTAACAGATACTTGAGGTAGATATGATAACTACAGGACTATGGATCCAGGTGCAACTTTTGTTTCACTGTTGCTGACTTCAGAAAATATTATTTAACCTTTACTACCTTTACCTTCTTTAAGGGCATTAACTAAGAGGATATCACCCTCAAATAAATGTTTAGGAACCACATACCAAAACAAAACTAAGAAGGAAAAGCAAATCAAAAAACCCAAGAAACTCTTCCCATGAAATCAGTAAATAAATATGGGTGGACACTTATCTCCAGCTGAGCATAAAGGTAAAGAAATAAAAATAAAGGCTGGTAGATTTGATTAACAAAAACTTCATGTCCAAAAAACACCATAAATAAAATAGAAGACAAAATAGAAAAATATTTACTCTGAGAAATTCTTAAGTTCAAACAAGAGGCTAAGAAACACATTCATGGAAAGGCAACATTTTATTAACAAACTCAATTTAAACTTTAAATTTTAGTAATACCAAAACATTTCCCTAAAGCCCTCAATTAGAAAAAGTTTACAAATGTGATCTTTGTTCTTTCTTAAAAGTCCTTGAGGAATTACAGATGAAGAGGCGTTTTCTTTCTAGAACAGATTAAGTTCACCAAGTACTCAAAATTCATGCAGTGACAATAAATAGCGTAACTTCAGTCTCCTTCACACTCTTAACTCTAGGCTAACCCAGGGTCAACCTTGCACTAAACAGTTTGCACCAGGTAACTTGTTCTGGGGTGCCACTCTGTGTTTGTAGGCTGTTAAGAAGCACCCTGGCTTCCATCCACTGGATGCCAGCCAATAGCACATCAGCCCGAGTTTTAACAAGCAAAACTGGCTCTAGCTAGACATTGTCAAATGTCCACTGGCGAGCAAAACTGCCCCTGGTTGAGATCCACTAGGTATTATCTATACTATTCCTTCTGGTGCTATTTTAAGAATTACTTCCACAGAAGTAAACACACTGAACCCCACTAGAAACAGTTTAATTCTTTACGTTCTCATATTGCTGCTGCGCACCAGATCTAAGAACTGTGGAGGAAAAAACCTTTTACTGAGCTGAAAAAGATATATACACATGTGCTTTTACATGAGCAAAGGAAGTACTTCTGAAAGGGCACACTAAAACTGTTAATAGCAGATGCTGTAGGGCAGAGGACAAGACGGCTGGTTTGAAGAAAGGTTTATTATATCCCTTTCCTTACCATTTTTACTAAATGCCTATATTAGTTGTCAATAATAAAACAAAACATTTTAAGCATATGTGGGGAAGATGTATACAGAGGAAAATGTGTAAGGATTCATTCAACAGACTTCAGAGAAACAAGATTCGATCTATTTTATTGACAAATAGTTGCTGAATATCTTTCTGTGTGAGGTACTGGTAATTCAGCAGTGAATACTGCCAAAAAGAAAAAAAAATGCTGCCCTACAGAGCTTTCCTTCTAGTTTGAATGTGTATGTTTGGGGAGTGGAGTATATTTACATTTTTTATCTATATTCCTACATTTGAGAAAAATTTATAGAGTTCACCCGATAAAAAGTTTGACAAAACCCTTTAGCTAACCAATTTCCCAAAATGTTGGTTTTCTTTCACAAAAGGCAATCATGAATGACAATTTCATGAGCAATTTTGAGTATAAGTAAGTGCAGTTAGTGTAAAATGGATAAAATTTACTTTAAAAAGTCTTCAACAAATTTCCATTGCAAGGACTACTATTAAAAAGTATGATGGGGGAATGCTATATTATCAAAGAACAGGGGCTGTGAGTACTTCTCAAGACAGGTAAAAGAATGGCTTTTCTTAAAATTATTCATGTTTTTACAGGGAAAGAAAGGAATGCAAAAAAAAAATGTCCAAATTTTCAAATGACATCTTTAGTCTCAAGAGCCAAGTTAACTGAGAAAGATTATAAAGACTGTTAAGCAAAATGTGGTAATCAATTTTACCACAAGCAAATACAAATTTATATATAAGCTAACCTACCTAACTTAGATATACAGAATTAAACTCAGATGTGACTTCTTTGAAGTCATTACTGTCATTCTCCTGAATTCTCCTTAAATAACCATGTACTCTTGGGACCTTAAGCAGAGTTACAATACATTATCTCTGGTACATCACACAGAGTTTCAATTGTTGCAGCTCCAAAAAAGGGCAATGGAAATAAGAGAGAAGAGTGAAATGACCATGTGAATTGGAGAGGTACTACACGAACAGACCATGACCAACAAAAATACTCAGAAAAAAGCTTACTCTTTACAATCTCTTCCTAAGCAAACTCATGAGATTTGGAATTAACATAAGAAACAAATGCACCATAAATTTGACTGACCAAATTAATGAACAGAGTATCTAAAAGACACTGGGTCAATATGTTCTAAGAGTGACACTGGAGAGGGTGCTCTCCCACAGCGTGTACACCTTGGAGGCACTGCTGGCCCCAGGGCTTTTATATTTACTAGGTTTATCTTGAGCTTGAATTCAGCAAGACCATTCTTTAATTACTAATTGCAATTACAAAAACCTCACTGCATCCGGAAGGCAAAGGGAAGCTTAATTAATTATGTTACATATAAAAGTCATTTGCTGCTGACAGTGATTCAACCCATCAAGACTGACAACAGAATCCAAGACTTTCCAGATTACAAACACATGCCGACACTGAATTTTATTCTTAAATACAAGAGCACTTGACTTTTAGGGGATTTTTCATTTTTCAAGTTTGTCAGTGTGAAAAATAAAATGAAATCACATTAAGCACTAAAAAATTTTTAATAATGCAAGGAATTTATCATAAAACTAGACAATTTGTCACTAGCATTTTAGAATTTGAGCTTGCTAGGGCTTAATTTAGTTAATGGTGTTGTTTACTTCGTGAAACACTCATGATTTTTCTAAGTTTTACTACATCATTCCATTATAACCCTGTGAGAAAAATGTTCCCAATGACGTGGGGGAGTATGAATTTAAGTTAATTCACATTCAATTTGAGACCACCCTCTTCACCCTAAAAGAGTGGGGGAGGGGGGAGAATGAGGCTGCCTAACTGATCCAAGTGCACCAACAAGTACTGAAACCACTTTCGCTATAACAGCAAAGGTAAAAAAGACAACAGATATGAAGGGTGCAAAAGAGAAATTACATCAGATTTCAATTATCCTGCTAATAAGGGCTAAATGCAAAATGCTAAAGTTTACCTTCATACCCATATAGGACACTAGGATAATAAAAAAAAATACCCATATAAGACACTAGGATAATAAAAAAAAAATACTGTGGCTTTTTTATTGAGTGATGGCATTTAAATAAAACAGTGAAGGATAGAATGCAATTGACCTGGCTTCACCAGTCAATCTAAAGTTAAAGCTATGAATTTTTGCTGTAAGCAAGATACTTGTTTTAAAGCACACCAACCAGGCTATACAAATTTTAAAGAAAGAGGCTTCAAACCAAGAAGTGTGGTCTCGTGGTGAGATCATTCACTGCAAGCAGAAAATGATTCAGCAAATGGGTTGTTTGTAGCCACATAAAGAATTTTCATAAGTATTTTGACTTATGATTTCTTACCAGCATTTTCCAAGGCTACTTAAGAAAAGCCACATTTATGTTAGTATTCATTAGTTTACTGCTGCCTTTTGGAGACAATTTAAATAAAAATCTAATTCTCTCAATTTAAATGTTAATACCAAAAAGGATTCCTCTCTCTTCCATAGCACTATCATTGACCTAAGTGATCTGCCCAAGAAAAAAACAGAAATAGAAAAAAAGCAAGAATCACACACATATAAAAGAGAAGGAGTAGAAGCAACAGAGACTGCGAGACCAAAATACATACAAAAAATTTTACTGTTCAGGATAAACCTGTGCCAATCTGATAAACCAAATGGGACTTTTGACCACTAGAGATTAAATAGGAATCAAGGTAACTATAAAGCTTTTCTTTCCAATTAAAAAAAAAGTATTTTAAGGACCTTTTCAAAAACTGTTTTCTTATCAAAAAGGTCCTAATGACAATCCACAAATAGCTTAAAGTCTCCCAGGATCCATTTTTCTACACACACCTTTCAGAAATAGCATTCTAAAAATAGCTGTGATAAAAGGAGCAAAAAATATAGTGAGAATTAAGGTATAATCAGATATTTCTAAACAATATGCAATTTTGTTAACAGATGCAACACAGTATGCATGTTACTCCCAAAAGAACAGACACCAAACTCACCTTTCATACCTGAAAGATAAAGATGAACACTTCAATATTGGACTACACACACACACACCTCTACCATAATATGCCTGACCACACACACACACCCTCTAACATAATATGCCTGACCACACACACTCCCCCAGCAACATAATATGCCTGACCACACACACACACATACATACAACCACTAGCCCGCCAACCCTCTGCCCCACCAACATACCCAAAATTTAAGTAGACAATTGCTAACGTGTGATAATCAGGAACACATGACATCAAGAAATTGTATTAGCAAAATATTTTTGCTAAGCTCACTTCAAAACAATGTTACAATTAACTTAAACCTAATTCACAGTACTTGAAACAACATGATTCTCACAAGATGTACAACAGAATGACTAGGCTTGCCCAAATTACACTGTATATTACTATTTTAAAATATTCAAATATAAGTATAAAATTGAAATGAATACCGATGTAATAATTCTTTGAGTAAATAAATGTTTCGTATTTACCGTTTAGCTTAGAAAACCTCCCAGAGCCAGTGTCTGGCAGCTTGTCATCACAAATACGGAAACAAAGAACGTAACAATAAAAATAAACCAGAAACCCCGCATTTCAAGCAAAAGGTTCATTACGCAATTTACCTTCACAGTTAATTAGAACACTACATCCAACAGTAAAATCCACTACCAACTTTCTGCGTATAGATTTACCTCAAAATTTGGAAATAGTTAAAAAAAAAAAAAGACAAGGAAATGGTACTTACATTTCTATTGAATTTGGTGAAAGAATGATGCATATAAAACCTGTGCATATAAACAATCGCAGTGTTTATTGTAAGCTGAGAGCTGGAATAAACATTGAGGAAATAACAGAGAAACACAATGTCTCATTTCCAAAACAATTCTGATGGAAAATTCCCGATATACGGTTCTTTTCCAGTGCTTCCCATTCACTCAAAACCATACCCAAAACTGTAAAAACAGAAACAGAAACAGAAACCTGCGGGGGATGATGGTGGGGGGGGAAGGCTCGACGCCAAATAAACTAATATCTGCTGAGCATTTCACTATACTACTGCTATTAAGCGAGCCCAGGATGGATGTTAACGGCTACAACGGACTCAACTCAGTTGAAACGCGCGCGCATGCAAAACCACGCCGAGAACATAAAGACCTCCAGTGCGCTTCCAAGGTACAAGAGAAACGCCATCAAAGCGTCGAGGAGCGCGGGGAAAAACTGCGGAAAACACTTAACGCCTTTCAGCATCGCTACCGGTCCTACCTTTCAGCCCCTTCTCGGACGAGAAGTCGAAGCAGCCGCCTCTTTTCTGCGCTAAGTCCTGAGAATGTTCTCTCGCCTCGGCGGCACTCCCATCCCCCGCCGCCACCACGCGCGGCCCCAAACAGATTTCACAACGCGTCGTCTCCCGGCCCGCATTCCCGGGCTCCTCTCCACCTCCCCTCCTCCGCGGGAGGCTGCCGGCCTCCCGAGCCCTAGCCCGCCTTTCCTTACATGGCGGCCGAGACCAAGGGCGAAGCGGCAGCGCCATGTTCGCGGGGCAGCAGGCCCGGAGACCGGGAGACCGGGCGAGTAGCGAGGACAGGGCGTGAGCAACGGAGGGCCAAGAACAGGAAAGGATACACATTGAGACGCTGTCCCATGTCCTGGATGAGGTTGGCCGCCTGCTGACGGTACGAGAGCTCTTTATCCGCCTCCACTCCGCAGCGGCGGCTCGGTGTGTTCTCCAGCTGTTCCCGAGTAAAGAACCAGCGAGAAGAAGCTCCACGGCCCGACGCCATGACACTTCCTCCTCCGCCCGCTCCCTCAACCCACCCCCCGCCCCTCCCGGCTTGCGGACTCCCCGCCAAGGCCGCGCGACCCCGCCCCACTCCGCTCTCCGTAGACCACGCACCGCCCCTTTTCGTGCTTGCCGTCGCCCATGCGCGTGCGCGGGGGTGCCATACCGGCTCGCCCAGTCTTTTGCTTTCCTTTTCCTCCCTCCGGCCTCGCTCTCGCGCAGGGGACCACAATGCTCCGCGCCGCCTGTCATTTGGAGGCGCCCGAAGGTGGGGGTTGGCTCGGAAGGAAAAGGTCGGCGCGATGCATGCCGGGTGGGGAGGAGACCAGGGGAGAGGCTGGCCAGAGGTCCGGTGGCCAGAGAGGCCGGTGGGCGGGCGGTTGCGCCGTGGGGCGCGGGCGTGGACTTGGATATTTGGGCGGGATCTTGGGCCCAGAGTCTGGCGGCGTTATAAAAAGCGAAAATCCTTCTTGTCTCAGCTGCAGGCCTCAACCTGTATTTTCCGGTAGGGCTTGTCCGCGCAGTCTCGCCGGTTTTCTACTCGCGATTCCAAGACGAACAGCCTCCACCAGTGGGCGGTCTGGGAAGGACTTACCTGGGAGAGAGTGCTTAAGGCATGCTGCTCCGCGTTGCGTGCTGCGCTTGAGTGCTTTTTTTTTACTTTACCTTGTTTGAACCTCACAACCCTGCGGGCCATGAATTTGTTTTTTAAAATTACCAAAGGCCATCCAGTTAGTAACTATAGGAGCTGAATTTCTAAACCACGCTATGATTAAAGAGGTGATTAAAGAGACGCAGATAGTACAAGAGGAACGGAGTAAAAAGTTTATATTTAGCGTTTAATACGGTCGCACTGCACATGCCTGTTAATCGCTTGATCCCTTCTGTTTCTGTAAGAAAACACCGCATAGCTCCACTCTGGGAGTCGGGGTCTCTGGCTCTTAAGCCAACAACTATTGTGTGTGAATGAAGTTTCTCTAAATTTTAAATTTTAATTATTTGCCAGACTACAGAGTGAAAGGGTATCTCGCCGCGACCTTCCTTACCCAGGACGACTCAGGAGACACGGGCCCACGCGCGCGCGCGCGCGCGCGCGCGAGAGAGAGAGAGAGCAGCAGAGAGAGAGAGAGAGGGCAGCAGAGAGAGAGAGAGAGGGCAGCAGAGAGAGAGAGGGCAGCAGAGAGAGAGAGAGAGACGGGGGCGGGCAGCAGCGTGGTGCCTTCTATTGTGGCTGATCCGCTGTGCCTGTTGCTTTGGGGGAGGGTTGGGATGTTTGGAGATAAAGTGGGGTAAGCCCAGGCATAATTCTCACCGGTTTATGTGCTTGGGACCATGGGGCAAATGGAGGATGAATTACTATATTCTTACACAGAATACAGACTTCTAAAAGGCAACTGAAACTACTTTTAAGTGAGCTCCTGATTAAAGCTTCAGGCTTTTGTCATCGTTTTAGGGGCTCCACTACTTAGCGTACTGCTTGCTGTATCTTGGCTCTGCTTGCTCCAAATACAGTGTAATTTTGAGCGGTTGATTTGGTTGCAGTTGGCAGTTACGAACATTTCTTACCTCCGTTGCTTGCCTGTTCCTGCTTGGGAGTTCCAGGATAGATTGATTTAAAGCAGCATTTATGAAGTGTCTACCTCCAACCCTTATTCGTGATAGAAACTAAACAAGCTAGATATAGAGGGGTACGTCCTCAACTTGAAGAGCATTCGTAAAAACCCTACAGCTAAGTCATACTTGATGAGAAACAAAGCTTTCTTGCTAAAGCAAGGATGTTCCCTCGCACCACTCTTTTCAACATTGTACTGGAAATCCATACAAGAAAGGTAAGTAAAAGGTAAACAGATTAGGAAGAAGGAAATAAAGCTGACTTTGTTCACAGATGGCATAATTATTTATGTAGAAAATCTCAAAGTACTAAAAAAAACCCCTGGAACTAGTAATTATACCAAGATTGTAAGAGAAAAAGTTAATATATAGTAGTCAAGTTGCTTTCCTGTATATTAGCAATGTACAACTGAACTTTGAAATGAAAAACTACCATTTACATTTACAAAAAGTAATACGTAGCTAACAATAAAAAATATGTGTAGAAATCTACAAAACTGATTAATAACTCAAGATATAAATGGGAGGGTATTCTGGATTCATGGAATGAAAGGATGGGCAAAGGAGGCAGAACTAAAATAAAAGCATTTATTTGGGGTCTTAGAATTGCAATTTGGGGGACACAGATTTGGGCAGCAACCAGAATAAAGAGCCCCCAAGGAACGAAAGTCAAGGGTTTTTAAAGCCCAAAGGGAATGCTTGGATTTGCTACTTGTAAAGAATTTTGATTGGTGGAGGAGGCGGAAAACTAATCTTAACTGAATGTAGGTGGTTGCTAAGGCTGTCACTAAGCAAAGTTTCTTACTATAGCAAGTTGCAAATGTTCGGGCTCAGTGTTTTGGGCTGAATCCTTGGAATATTTGTTTGGCTCAGTTCAAAAGTTCATGGTTCTACTGGTGAGGATGTATAAGGCCCATCTCCTTAATACCCTCCCACCTCCATTTAAAAATAAATGACGTAAGTGATCCCATTGCATTTAATCTTTCACAGAGACAATATGGTTAAGTGTCAGTTTTTCCCAACTTGATCTAGGGATTCAACACAATCCCAATCAAAATTTTTGCATGTTACTTTGTAGGTATCAGCAAATTCATACAAAAGTTTATATGGAAAGACAAAAGGCCCCAAATAGCCAACACAATACCAAAGAAGAAGTTGGAACTGACACTACCAGACCTCAAAGCTACAGTAATAAAGACAGCATATACTTGCAAAAGAATAGACACGTCAATGGAACAGAATAGAGAGCTCAGAAGTAGATCTACCAAATATAGTCAACTGATCTTTAACAAATTGCAAAGGCAATTTAATTGAGAAAGAATAGTCCTTTCAGCAAATAGTGCCAGAACAACTTGACATCCATATGCAAAAAAAAAAAAATCTATACACAGATCTTATATCTTTCACAAAAATTCTAAATGGGTCATTTATAAATATAAAATGCAAAACTGTAAAACTCAAAAAGGTAACAGAAGAAAATCTAAGCAATCTTGTGTTTGGCAATGAGTTTTTAGTTTGTAACACCAAAAGCATGATGCATGAAAGAAAAAAAGTTGGACTAAGATAAAGACCTTTGTTCTGTGAAAGTTCAGAGAGTGAAAATACAAAGAAAATCTTTGCAGAACAAATATATGATAAAGGACTCAATCCAAAATATACAAAAAACTCCTAAAAGTCAATGAGAAAACAAAGCACCCCATTTAAAAATGGGCAAAAGAGTTGAATAGCTACCTCACAAAGAAGATAAACAGATGACAAATAAGCATATGTAAAGATTTTGAACATCTTGTGTCATAGGGGTAGTCCCAAGTAGCAGTTTGTAATTGCAAAAGATTGGAAGCATGACTGTCCATGAATTGAGGATTGGATGACTAGGTACATGCATGCAATGGGATACTATTGGGTATTAAGGAGCAGAAAGCATCCAAGTGCTGTAAGAAAAAAATTGCCAACCAAGAACACTATCCTGGCAAAGTTGTTCAAAATTGAAGGCGAGTTTTCTAAACAAGCAAAAGCTAAAGGAGTTCATTACCAGTAGAATGGCCTTAAACGTTAAAGGCACTTCTTTAAGTTGAAATGAAAGGGCACTGATTAGTAATAGGAAAACTTGAAAGTGTAAATCTCACTGGTAAAATTAAATATGTAGTAAAAATAATAATGTGAAAGTGGTGAGTTAATCATTTATAATAAAGTTTGTAAAGAGGTTAAAAGACAAAAGTAGTAAAAATAACTAACTACAATGAATTGTTAATGGATACACAGAAAGTTGGAAATTACATCAAAAACAACCTGGCAGGTGGTTGGGGTGAAAAATAGAGCTTTAGAATACATCTAAACTTAAGTTATGAACTTAAAATAGCCTGTTATAAAAAGAAGGTAGCTTATGGAATGACCACCAAGGTATTAAGTAGGAAAAAAAAAGCAAGGTGCTACTGTTCGGGTACAATGAACAAAGGAATATGTCCATGTGAGTACTTGTATGATCACAGACTGTCTTTGCAAGAATACACACACACAACAACAGGTAAAAATAGTTCTTTCTGGGACACATAGGTGCCTAATAAAAGTGAGCAGCATTTTATATTCAGAAATGGAAACTTTAATTCATTTCTGTTCAGATTTGATTTGGAAAAATCTTCAGAATGGTCTAAGTTAAATATGAAGTGGTTACTTATTGTAATTAAGTTAATCTTAAGTAATTTCCTTGAATATAGGTGTAAACTTTCTGATTGGTTAATATGAATTGGGCTGAGTCAGAGCTGGGTTCCTTATTAGGGGAAATGTAAAAGATGGAGAAGAATACCATATAGGGAAGAGGAATGCTTAGATGGCTATAGATAGTTGTCCTTTGGATTTTGATGATGATGGTTTTTTTTTTTTCAGGGTTATATTTTGGATGAGTACTTATACTAGATAATAAAGGAAAGAAAAGGCTAAAAAGAGTGATTTTCCTGAGAGAGATTTGAGATTCTGGGTATAAGTAGTGTTGTTGTAGGGCCAGAAGATCTTTTCAGATTCAAAACTCAACTCTGGTTATGTCATTCCCTTCCTAAAATCCTCATGGCTTTTTGATAAAATTTCTGTGGCCCCACATGATCTTGCCACTTCAGACAATGTCTTGCTTTCTCACCTCCAGCCCCAGTGGTCTTATTTCTTACTGTGTTCACTCCTGCTGTTTATGCTTTCGCCTCTGCTGTGGATACCCTTCCCTCACCACTTTGCCTCTTTACTTTGTAGCTCTTGTCTGCTTTTCAGTTCCCAGCACAAGCAACACTTCTGAAAAATATCTCCCCAGCTCTGAGTAGGCCAAATCCCTTATTATAAGCTCTATACACTATGTGCTTCCTCTTCATAGCTGTTGTCATGATAACAATTTTATATTGATCTGCTTATTTGCTACCTGTCTCCCTAACTAGATTATAAGCACAATTGCA